AATGGTCCATATAATTCTAGAATTTATTTGTTATTGTTACAAGATTTGAACCAGATACGAAGCGCGTAATATTTCATTGAGATATCGAGACAAGTGCGCGATCGACAAGCGAGAATCGCTGCTACACATGCACACGTTTTGCTCAAAATTATTGTCTCGACTTTTACGCAACACAACCCACTGTGCCGAAAAATAAAACAACGAAATAACAGAAAAGGAACAAGATCAAACGTACGTTAATAGCGCGTGATATACGTATTATATGAGAGCAAAAAAACAAGCGGCCGATAATAATAAATACAAAGCGCATCGTCATCGAATGAATAAGTGAAAACAAGACGTTCGTCGCGCATCGTCGGTTTCTTCTCGTTTTCTTTCCTCTCGGCTCTCGATTTTAGCATCGCATCGCGCCCCGCAAGAAAAGAGTAGGCGCCAGGGACCAATAAAAATTTCTCGAAGGTATAAACGTAAGTCAGCTTGTGTGCGTGCAGAGGCGCCGTGTATTGCATATATACCTGCGGGTGTTGAAAAAAGTGCGTGACGCGAGAACAATAAAAAAAGAAGGATTGCGATTTGTAATCGCGAATTCAAGTCTCGTGTTTATAATTGATGAAATGTAAAAATTAAGTTTTTGGGTAATTTTGCTCCTGGTGTGGTTTTTTTTGTCACGACCATTGCTCTCAAATAGCTACTTTTTCTTCCCATGAATCATACGAAATTCGCAAGTTAAGCTAAGCACGCGTGGCGTAATTATCGGAAAAAAGAATTTTCCCATTGCTGCTGCTGCGGGACATTTTTTGCCCGATCGAGTGTAATATTAACAAGCATGCACGCGGCAGGCATTGAATTCTAGAGGGATTTTTATCGTTATAAGCCGCTTTCCATTCTCTTTCTCGGCTTTTTGCGCGCAAAGATCGACCAGTATAACCGATACATTTATTCCCTCGAGTCGAGAAACTTCGAGTGCGTGCAATATCGTGCGGAGCGAAAAAAATCGGGGGGCATTGCGCACACAGGTGGATATCGCCGCGTTGTTGTATGTATATCCGTTCGTTGTAGCACTCACGTGATTCGAGATCATACATTTTAAGTGATTCCGCGGATTTTTGTTGCCCAAAAGATGATGCGCGTACCTCAATGTTTGATTGATCAAGAAAATATTGAGATGTTGCGAAAAATCGATTGATCCGAAAATCCTCCGCCTCGTGCACGAAAATATAATGATACAATAATTTGGCAGAATAATGCGAATTATAAAAGACTCCCGCACAGGGGCACAGCCGGCGCTGCCGCTCGCTTGGCGGTAATGATAATCGACGCGCAGGAACGTGACGATTTAAAAACAATGAAAAAAAAACTACGTCGACGTGAGTGCATCATCGCCATCATCGATCGTAAAATATAATTGAATCATCATAAGCGGTACTCGAGACACGCAAAAGACCGTAAGAGCTATTTCATTAGCTTTATGTAATGCACGGATATTGGGTCTATTAAGTCCTGTCTCTTATATATATACTCGAAATAAATCATCGTTCGATTTATGTGGGCCTCTCGCGTTGGCTCGTATAAGGATACGGACGAATTTCGTAATGCCACATATCGTAGAAAATCCAAAACTCATGTAGAACCGTGGGCAAGCGGTCAATCGAGCCTAAAAATGACTGGTAAAGTAGCCGTGCGGTCTTTAAAAAGCTGTATCTCTTTCCGTTCTCTCGACCTCCTTAAACCCTCGTATATGCTGTACGGCTGATCGCGCGAAACCTTTTTTTTCTCGTCGATGAAAAATCTCTTGGGATCTCGCCGCGCGGATATCACGCGGATACGAGCAATTCAACATACACGGATAGATGACCTCTTGGGCTGTTCGAGAAGCTAGAATCACTCCGCTATCATTCATCTATTCGATCAACGACTCGACGAGTCTATTATTGTACTCTTTTCTGGATCGCTCTGATTCCTCGTATGAAGAATCGAACACTTGACGGACGTGTGTCGTCAACGTCGTCGTGCAATATTGTATATATCCTATACTAATTTGTCTCGCGCGCGGGGACACTTTTATTCATTAATCACTGTGGTAATTTTATATCCATCAAACGCCGAGGAGCAGAGCGATTAGCGTTGAGTGTATGATTTTTTTTCTCTCTTTCTAGCTATATGTATATAATACAACGAGCGTGACACGCACGAGACACATGAATCGGGAACTGCAGCAGTCTGTATGTGTGTATGCATCCTTTATAAAGCGACCCCAAGCTAGGCTGTGTACGCAGCGTTGCCCTCCTGTCTCGTGACGTATATGTGCGTATACCCGGTAACACGTGTTGAAAATCCATCATCCATCTTTCTTTTACGCAATATGTACAATATACGCGCGAGTGATCAAATGGCCCTATCACGCCTACTCGAATCCTTTCTTCCGAGACTTCCTTCGGCCTTTATGTATCTGTGCGTGTATACATACGAATGTACGAATTTTAACCGACTCCCACGTTGTCAACCAGTCATTAAATATATCATAAGTTTGCGTGTACTGCTGCTGCCTTATAGTAAGTGCGATGCAAAAGTCACCGCCTTGTGCCACTGTGCGCGCGATCGCCACGCGACTTCCGCTTTATATTATGGTTACGGGTAACAGCCAACAGCAGGGCACCTTTTATATATCGTGTACCCAGCACATACGAGAAAGATGAATGAATATTGTGTATTCCTCGTAATACAAAGCACAGAACGAGAGGACTGATTGATTTTTTTTCTACTTCTTCTTCATATAGACAAGCCTAATAGCTTGTAAGATCGCATTTGTAAGCGGCAGCTCTCGATGCTGATATATTTAACTCGAGCGCGCCTCGATCTCCGCCGGCCGTCGGAGCGTCGAAAAATGTTTAACAACGTGCTCGTAATGTAAGACTCGTATACACGTATAGTTTAAGAGCTTTAGAGACTCGAAGATCATGCAGAGATTTATGAATTATACATATATGATGTGTTGTGGGTTGAATGAATTACATTTTGAACTTTATGGTTTGAAATATGATTAGTATTCATTAATAAATCTAATTCGGATATTCCAATATTCTATGGCGATATTTCAAAATGAAACATTACGAAGCATTGTATATTCACTCTGGTATGTACTTAGGAATCTGATTCATTAAAAACCTCAGTACATGAAAAAATTGTAATATTTTACAGAAGATATGATACGAAACTATCTTCACACCAAATCGAATTGACCAGAACAAATTCAAGATTCAAAATAGCTAAAACAATTTATTTAAAAAATATTCTTTCGGTTACTGATACACCTGGAAGACGTGTTAAATACTAAAGTCTCCATACTTATTAACATAAATAATAATACTATTAAAATAAATAAATATAAATACATATAATAATGACTTCGTGTAAATTAATGGGCTGTCACTATTGCTGTTTTTATTGATTTTGAATCTTCTCTGAAAGGTCATTTAAAAAATGTACTCATGTCCTAGTTGCACAAAATGGATCATTCTTCAATGTAAAAAAACATTTATAGATTACAATGAGATTTTATCAGTATTAAACTTCGATATGATCTTTTTATACCTCATTTGATACTTCAAGTTTACAAGTATTTCATTAATTTATGACCATTGATAGCAGATAATGCATCAGGAAACATATTTTGACTTGTTAAACAACACATTTTCTAATATAATTATCATTCTTATCGTTATCTAATAATTACGTTTGTGTTACGACTGCAACAATGTTAAAGTGCCAAAACAGTCTTATGAAGCAATAAATTTATCTGCAACTAAATAGTAATACAGTTTTACATGTAACTTGTTTATTTTTCAATAAATTTATTACTTTGGAAAATTTATCTGTCTAGACACAGAATATTATGAGCTATAGTTTTGATATGCATAAATTTTCTACGCTTGAATGAACGATTGCAAAAAATACGTTATACTCATAATTAGCATAGAGCGTATAGTGTTTCGATCTGAAACGAGGACTTTCAGCCTCTTGATTTTTTAGGATTAATTGAAAAAAAAGTATATTAATATTTCTCCTATTTCTCCATACGATTAATGACAAATTTCCATTAAAGTAAAACATTATAAATAGACCTCTAAAAATAAATAAAATCTCGCTGTGTCATCTTCAGCCAAGCGCTCTTACGAAGTACCGCAAAATCTTGTGGAAACATTATTCATATGAAAAAATTCAACTATTTGCAGAATAGAAAGAAAAGGAGGAACGATATAGCGCATAGAGGGCGAGATTTATATCTTTTAAATACAAACGAGGCAAACTCTCCCAGAAGAGCAACAGTAGTCCACTTGTACACACAAGTTCACTTACATCCTTACTTACACCCTCGAACAAACACCCTACAAACTCGGGCTATACGCATCATCTGAAAATCCTCACTCCCTTCCATTTTACTTCTTCTCTGTGTGCTGCTGCCGCCGGGCGCGCACCACCACCACCAGCACGAATTCATCCCTCTCGCGTGTATACGGGATATGCCGCTCTCTGTCTCGCTTCCTCGTGCGTAACTCCGTACCTAGCGTAGCATACACGCGCGAATATACGTATACACACGGAAAGAAATAAAGAGTATGGTAGTGGGTAGTCACCGGGTCGGGCTCCGCCCAGTCGAGTACCTCTCGCCTCGAGCCAATGGCGCCCGACTTCTCCGCCTAGTCTCGGCTGCCATTGGTCGCAGCTTCTCGGCCGGCCGTGGGGTGGGGGGCGTCGCGAGCCTCCAGTTGCGGCGTTTCGCCGCCAGAGGGTTCGCGCGTACAGTCTCTCGCCAGAAGAAGAGAACGAGACAGAAAACCCGCTATATGCTACACGGGCAAAACACGAGCTGCCGCCTGCAGTCAGCAGCAGCAGCAGCGGCGGCGTTGGCGGCAGCGGCGGTGCGGCGGTGGCGACGACGACGACGAGAACGGCGCGCTGTGTGTTTTGCAGACAGTTCGCGCTAGTGTTAGTGTAAAAGCGAGTCAGTCGCAGACTGGAGCGCAGCCCTGTACCGCGTGCGGCCGCTGCTCCGGTTCCCACCGACGTTTCGCATTCCGCTTCGTCCGATATTTTGTTTATAATACGTCGATCTCGCGTCGTTGCGTTGATTTTTCTTTTATTTTCTGGGCTCGTGTTGGACGACGATCCACCAGAATAGTCGAGTGTATCGAAAGGATAAGCCGTAGAGACTGTAATATCATGAGGCATCGCAAAAAAACGAACAGCTAGAGGAGCTTTTGTTTCGAAAGAGAGAGCCTCCCCGTGTGTTGTTGTTGTTGTTTTGTTTTTTATTTTCTGTTGTTGTTTTGTTGCATGCAGATATGAGTGACTCGACGGTGTACCACAGAGTAGTGTTTTTGTTAACGTAGCACGACGAATGATATTGCAACGAGAGATAGTGCGGACACTAGTGTGGCGTGTGAATTAGTAGTAGTTCCGAAACACTGCGTTTATATGCGCAAAAGTACAAGAAGTCTATACACGGCTCTCGCGAGTGCTGCAAAAATAAGGAGAGAAGAGAACAGAAAGAAGAAGAAAAAAAAGGCCGCGGCAGCAGCAGCGGACGGCACACGCATAAGCTTCGTAAAAACGAGAAGAGGAGGCTTAAAAGAGGGATATGTCAGCATACGCGCAGTTCGGCTACTATCCGACGGCTTCGCAGGTAAGCTCTCGTTGCTGCTCGAAAGGCTGCATATAGGCGTGCATACGCTCACCCACCCACGCACGCACACATCAACGCACACGTACACACACAGAACGGTGCACACGTACAGCGGCCGGGACTCGCGTATGCAGATGGGGTTTCTTTCGTCCGATCGATTTTCGTGGAGTAGACGTTATCGCGCGCACCCTGCGAGTGACTGAAACAGAGAGAGCTTCGCCATCTAAACTTGTGTGTGCTTTTCATTTCTATACGCGTGCGGTCTTTTTTTCGAATTTTTAATTGCACCGTTCGTGCAGTGTGTGTATGCATTGTGTGTAGAAAGAGAGAGAGAGAGAGAGAGAGACTCGACTGCTGGTGCTGCTACTACGTGCGTGTATAACGAGCACGTGCGAATTCTTTTGTGTACTGCTGCTCCATACGAGAGCTATAAATAAAAACGAGCAATTAGATTCAGTGACTCTTTTTTTTCACTCGCTCTCTATCTCACCATATCTTTTTCTCTCTCTCTCTCGAGTGTTTATTCGTGTAATCGTTCATCAATGGATATATCGATTAAGTAATTACACTGATTAATGCATTAAATATAGTTATGTGTGTTTGCTCGCCCAATAACCGGAGCTATCAAATGAAATTTGCACCACTACCACCGGCACGATACTGAAGCCCGGCAACGTAAATTTGCCGAGGCATTAAAATCCGAGCTTGTGCAAACGTTTGCTTTCTGCTGCTGCTGCTGCTGCTCACGGCTAATGATTCGTTTAGCGCGTTTTCCCGACGCGATAATAAGCTCGATAAACATATTATATCCAGCGGAACGAGACGGGAAGACAGAGAGAGAGAAGCGTCGAAGATGAAAACTAGACGTATTTCCAAACCTGTTGCCCGATATAGCTTCGTGGTTCTTCTTTTTTATGTGTTTGCGAGGTGCTGCTTCTTTTTATTTGACATTTCGGTTTTAATGGCGTGTTTGCACTATTACACTTTTGCCTAAGGTAAATTCGTCTGAAATGTGGGTGAATAGGCCTGCATTCTTCGTTTGCGTTTGCTTTGTTACATCAACAACAAAAATTTCATCGATGATCTCTGATAAGAGAAATATTTATTTAAACTTGATAATAAAAAGACGCCAAGAGCTAATCTATGTACGAAAAAAAAAATGAGAACAATAATCATGAAGGAGCTTTTAAAGAAAGAAGATCGTCGATTTCTTGGTAATCGTTTTGGCGAATTTTTTTCAACAGCCGAGTGGAAAAATTCGAGCTTAGAACTGCTTGACGGTGTGCAACGCCCGCAATATTATTATATCATACACGTGAACCGGTGGAATGATAAATTGATTTCGTAACGACCCCCGCAATAGAGTGAGGCGCTGGCACGGGGTGATACATTTTTTTTTTATTAAAGGGTATTGACTTCGTTGCAGATTGTCTATTTAATGAAAAGAAGAATTTTTATGCATTCCATTGCACGTTGTGTTGACTAAAGTTACGTGTTGTGCAAAGACATTATTTTAAAATTCATTGAGAACTGCATTTTTTGTTATACAAATACTTAGTTAGAGCTTGCTTCAGTCGAATAAAAAGGGTGATACATATTTATACATATAAATATCGATTTAATTTCCTATGATCGTTTACTCATCGATAAAATGTTGTCAAATATATAGTAACCAGGTCGATTGTCAATGTTCGCCGATGTTCGGAACAAACACATATACGGACTAGAAGGGGACCGGTACTTCCTCAAATTTATCTCTCTATCTTAAGCTTAGATCGATATCACGACGCCTTCCAAGCCATGTGTAGTCACTATCTTTAAGAAAATAAAAAACAATATAGTAGAGAACAAAACTGATGAAGTTTTGGTTGCCGAAATCGTAGCTTTGTTCAATAACTCGGACGTAAAAGAAAAAAGGGCAAAACAAACATATTCGAGTGCTGTGTGTTTATTTTAGAGCGATCATATATAGATATACAATCGTGCGCAAATATAAAGAGAGAGCGAGTATAAAAGCGATCGCGAGAAAAAGACATTCATTAAGCGGGCCACGCGCGCGCGCACCTGTGCTTCGGTTCAGATGGCTCACGCAGTTAATCGTGCAGATTCTTCAACGCCTTATTCAACGTACCACAGCTTCTTATCATTATTACATTTGCGAGCGTGTACGTATCCGTGCGTTTCTAAAAAGGCATATTGTAAAGCGACGGCCGTCGCGCACGTCTCTGCTGTGTCGCGGCGTGTTACTAACGAGCCTAGGCTCTCGATGTGTAACGATTATAATGCATTGCCTACATGTATTCCACGGAGGAATATGGCATCGCGCCTATAGCCGAGTAAGCCGATACGAAAAGAGGAGCTACGTTGCCGAGAGCTTATAACTCAGCGCTCGATATATATGCGTAGCGGCGGCGGCGGTCTGTGCATCATTTGAGTGTGCATGTGTGCGAATATTCCGCTCGACGCGTCAGAGAGATGGCCTCCTATTGATATTGCAAAAATTTCACACTTCTGATCCCTGAAAGATAGTTTGTGGTGATCCGATCAGGCGAGAAATCAGCTACATACACACATACACACGGTCGAGCGATGCGTATTTGTTCATCCGTAAGCTTCCGGTCATTCTCCATTTCGATTATTCCACGCAAAAGAATAAATTCCGAAAGAACTTTATCACTTCTATAAGCAGAGATGAGAGAAAAAAAATTAATTTTATTCTCGTTCATCCCTACCTTTTATTTTTTTTCCTGTCGACAATTAAAAAAAATATATATATAAAAAATTAGTGGTGTGCTATAGGAGCCCCGTTGTAAATCTATGTACATCGTGCGTGCCAAAATAAATAATATATAACTTCTATAATGAGATTAACCATAATGGTGGAGGCCGTGGCGTAATTAATGGCGAATTATTAATCGGAATCGCGTGCGTGTGTGCACGCTGCGCTCGTGCTAGAGGCAGCGACTTGGAAATACAGACATAGAAAGAGAGAGAAATTTAAAAGTCATTGCTTTATGCTTTTTTAAACGCGCGCGCCGAACGCCGGAGATATTCGCATAGAGCAACGAGAATACTAACAATTAATATAAATTGCTTCTCATAAAAATCAACACCTCTCTCTCTCTCTCTCAAACATTATTACTATTTAACTATCCGCTAAACGTCTAGTTTTAATTATACTCCGGCGTTTTCACAAATACACGAAGCTTAATGAGCTCTGTAACAGTGTGCGCGTATATAATAAATAAAATATACGGCACGATTATTGCGGGTGTTGATACGCGGCGCGATCGTCGAAACGGTCGTAATAATAACGCATCGTGCACGCACCCACGCGCACATAGGTGCCATATATTATGATATATGCACTTGATATGATACCGATTGAATAATGCTGCGAGTTTATACGCGTTAGACTCACTAAATAGAAACGGGAACGAATGAGAATCGTCGTGTGCGTATAAATCGTGTACGGCTAATTTTTCGCGCTCGAGCTGCAGTTTGGAAATTATTAGCTGTAAATTAGATTGCGGTGCGCGCGAGAAAGTATTTGTATACTCGCGCATACCGAGGACGATGGCACACGCGTGCTGCGTATATTACGGTTTATCAATGTCATTGGATTTTATTGAGGAGCTACCGCGCCGATCGCCAGCTACTAGTAGTCGTAGGTACAGTCGTAGTCGTAGTAGCTATAAGCACTGGAGAGGAGATGATAAAATGTTGCATCGACATCGTGTTTTTCCACTTGTAAAGCGAGTATGTTTACATATTATAGCAAACGATCCGACGAGCAGGTAAAGAGCGTCGGGGATTAGATATACACACTCACACGTGAACGCGCGCGTGTCTTATTTTATTTATATATGTGTAACGCATGCATATGCATATACATATACTGCATATGCATATACTGTGTGTGTACGGTGCACATTCGCGAACGTCTACGATTTTTTGCCCCAAAGGCTCGATTGTGGCTCGCTCGAGCTATACGAGCTGAATATCATGCATAAGTATTAGCTGCTACACACACCGTCGCTTAGAGATCGGAATAAGGTTTTATAATTAAAAGGTATTAAATCTTCATTGTGTTTATGTGTGTGTGCCTTGGCTTAGAAGCGACTGATGGTCGTGTTTCACAACGTTTTTAAAAGCCAACACACAATGGCGCACTGCGCAGGACGTATTATAAAAAATCCACCTCGTCGGATTAAAAAATCGTCTACACACAGACACACATACATGTGCGTGCATTATACTCATAGATTTATAAAACACATGTAGGTACACGCAAGTGTCTACGTACAGTATTAATACAGCCTCTCGATTCTCTTATATTCTCAGCGACGATTCTTCGGTCCGATAAAGCCCGCGCTATACATACGAACCAGGGCTGCCGTATAGGTTTCGAGATTTTAGTTGACGACATTCGCCAATACCTATATAACCGAGTCTCTCTCTCTCTCTCTGCGAGTCTGTGTCGGTGTGTGTAGTCGAGTTGCGTAAGATATCGGAGCTATATGTGCTCCGTGTCTCTTTCTCTCTTGCTCTCTTGGGTGCTTGTTTGGCATGGCTTTTTAAAAAAGCATTCGTGTGACTAGTTTGCACAACGTTATTATGTGCTGTAAGACATATATCCCCCTTTAACGTGTACACACACACACACACACGCGCACATACACAGACGCAACACGCATACTATGTATTATACGCGCGCGCGCGCATGTGTCTCTTTAATGGACGAGTTAAATAATACAAGTTTTCGCGGTGTTAATACAACCGTATATACGCTAAAGATCGATATGTAATCTGATTTGTATGAATGTACGTATGTATGTATACGTATGTATATGTAGCTCTCTGCGAGCAACAGCGAAGAAAAAAGAGCAACGATCAACGCAGAGGGAGAGAACGCGAAGAGAAATAGCCGCGCTGATCTCTCTGCAAACGTCGTCGTGTGTAATGTATTAAAAGTTTGTTATAAGAGCAAGTGCGTACGA